AATTGGGCCGCGTAGGGGCTAGCGCAAATTTGATTGGGCCCAAGGGTAATATTCCTCCGCGCCACTAGGGCACGTTAGCGGGCGAGCGATCGGGTAGCGTCACTTGCGGTGTAGCGTAGCTTACGGGTGGAACGTGTGCCAAAAGTGTATCCGAAGTGTAGAGTGAAAGTGAAGGAGTTGGAAAAAGAGAGAGAGAGAGAACGAAAGCGAGGACAATGGATAGAGAGAACTTTGATGATTTGGTCAGGCTATTTTGGGTGAGTGACGCTACCGAGCTATATAATTTTGTAATTGATCGAGATTAACCGGACCATAGATTTAGCTGCTGGATCTTTGATCCAGACAGCACGCGTTGCTTTCCGCTTACACGATCGTTGAGATTAGATGTTTGCCAATTTGGTGGCGATCTGGAGGATCCGTTATCTCGTATCAAAGTTTAGTTTTTAGTTTTGTGTTTGAGTATTCGTAGAACATGTTTGAAGAAACTGCATGCAAATTATTAATATCCAGTCCACGCTACGCGTAATCGTTTCGGTCTTGTGTCGTGTATCGTAAGTACCGCGCAGGCGGTCTTGTAATTGTCTCCCAGACCCAGGAGCCCACCGCACAAGAGCTGGCCGTGGTATCCTCTGGAGACAGCGGTGTATCTCTCGGTACACCTGGCGCCCAGTAATATAATAATCTATTCATTATTTCTCGCGGTGCCATTTATTTGTGCGATTCGTCGTTACAAGATATACCAAAATATGGGAGCTTCAATTACTCGTAATTATTGAGATAGCTTGGCAATGGCGTGTTCATTTTTTTTGGTTGCCGATTTCGAGCAGCGCGCGTTGCGCAGCAGCTCTGATAATATGATTGACAGATTGCAACAGCTGGCTCGAGTAATTCTTATATTTATAAAATTGCATGCGAACTATAGGTGTATATATGTAACAAAAATACGAGTGTGTGCGTTACGTATACCATTAGACCCCCCTATCTCAAATACAGTGTTGTCAATTCACCACAATTTTTTGGCATTAGACACATTTTCAATCAATATTCATTTACGCGGACCGATATTACTTTTTTAGAACGTAGGCGATCTCAGTAAAACTTTCTGTAAACCTTCCTTATATTGTTCACTACTTATTATCAATTTTATATTTGCTCGAATATGCATAAAGCTGAATAGAACGGTCACTTTATACTTCAAATATTTAAGTAACGAGGTAAGCGATTACTTTAGAACTGCGTAAGACCTTACACAGTGTGTTGACAAATATACTGAAAAATTTGGAATTTATGGCATGTCATGCCATTGTCCATAGAAGCACCCTAATTAAGCTACCCAAAAATATATGAAACAAAATACAATTTCTAAGCAGATATATTTTACGTTTTATATCATGATATAAAATAATTGTTTTTTAATATGCTCTTCATTTTAATACATATTATTTATGATATTAAAAATTCAGACGGAGTGCCATCCTTCTTCGCTTTGTCTTTTCCAAAAAGTCCCGTGACTTTGACTCCCGTGCGTTTTCATCATTTGTATCTTGTGTCTCGAAAGTGGCAATTCGCTCTACATTTCGAAGCAAACAGCGAATAAATATAAACGTATCAGGTATATCATACCTGTATGACCACCGTATGACATGTATGACATACAAATATGTATGACAATACATATTTGCGTGATTATTATTATACTATTAAACAAATTTAGAAATAAAATGCAAAAAATTCATGAAAAAAAAAAGTTGAGCGAGAGCGCCGGGGTCTGCATACCGTAAACTAGCGAGTCTGGTAGCCGTTTCTTTCACAATATCTTTGTATAATTCTTTGAAGATCTTACTCCATTCCTTGGTGACGAGATTAAACAGCATCTCCTACCAATTTATGAAGATTTATCTAGGGATGATTTACTGGAATGCTTGGGTGGCCATACCCAATGAAAGTTTCAACGCGACAGTTTGGCGATTAGTATCCCCAAAGCACCTGCATTCTGGGTTAAAAATCATTGAAATATCAGCCTATATTGCTGCTGGGATATTTAATGAAGGCTACACCTCCATTCTTAGAATTATGAACAATTTAGATATAATTGTTAACACCTATTTGAAAGTTTTCACCGAAAACATCGATGAGGCGCGAGTAGCGAGGCAGAACAAGATGAGTCTTTCTGAAACTAAAGCAGCTCGTATAGTCAGAAAACAGCAACAAATGGAAGAGAATCAGCTTTTTGAAAAGGCTGAAGGATTATTATATGCGTCTGGAATCGCTGATTGATCAGTAAGTCACTAAAACTAATAGTTTTATCGTACTGAAACTTTAAACGCGATTATCTCGAAACTACATTTTCAAAAACTGCTCATGTTGAAACTCAAAAAGTTATTGACCGATCTGGCTGAATTTTTGGGAGGTGATTCTCTATAATATTATCGGAAGGACAAACCTAAAGTTTTAAAGATATCGCGTAAATAAAATATTTTTTTGGGGTAAGAACTATCGAAAAAATGGTCGAAAAGTCGAACATTTTTTTCAACAGCCTATCAAATTTTTAATTTTACACTTTTTCATTGTTTTTTACGTTAGTCCTTCCCATTTACATGTCAGTAATCGAAAATAATTGTTTTTTTTTTGGTTTCAGATCACTACAAAGAACGAGACCAAAAAAAAATTTTTCTATGCTTTAAAGGTGGAATAAAATGATACCACAATTTCTAAATGATGCGCTTATTTTATCACCTTCAAAAAAATGCATGAAAAATGCCTCATTTTCGGCCGTTTAAATAGTATGCTCCCCTTAATTGATTAATATCTTCTGATATTAGGTTTCAATAGCACATCGTTTTCAACAACAAAGTCCATTTCCAGAGTGAAAGTATTTTTGCTATTAAATTATAACGAAAGTAATAAAATTTTGAAAACTTGTTCGCAATACCTACCGCTGTAAAATATTTATATGGAGTATAATATATAAAATATTGTGTATAGAGGAATAATACAGTCAAGAAAACTAGGAATAGGAATTGTATTTGTATTTACATATTTTCACAATCTGATTTTTATTATTTACAGAAAGAAGCAAAAATAATAGAATTGCAATGACAACACATATTTGCATGATTATTATTATAATATTAAACAAATTCAGAAATAAAATGTAAAAAAATTTGTGAAATAAAAATTTACGAGCACAGAAATTCGAGCACGGAACTCTTGGGTTATCAAGTTGACACGCTACCACTTCACCCGCCAAACCACTTGTAGCTAAGTTACGCCTTTAGATATATAAGTTCCCATACAAACTTTAGAGCTCTTTTTCTCAAAATCGGCTGCTCATTGGTCTGTAGAACTTGAGCATGTTATGAGGTTTCATCACTACGAAGTCTCATTCGGAATTTCATTTTCCATATCGTTTCCTCCTCTTATGAATACAAATAGAATGGTCCATCGACATATAGTATGGACTACGCATAGACAGAAAAAATGGTCGGCTGAAAGAAAAAGATAGCGACTGGTGGCGGCCAAGCCCTATCTTCTAACCAGCAGCCATAGTACAAGAGTATATAAAACAGATGGCCCCCCAGCCCGAGGATTCCCGAAGAATCCCGAGTTCACCCGAACTCGCGCGTTATCTCTCGCCTCGGTCCGCTATCCGTTTTTCGGCGCTCACAGCCCGCCAGTCTCTGGGCGGCGCCGATCTTACACGAGCGCGCTCGATCGTCGGGCTCGGCGCTACCGATTTTCCTCCCCAGCTTCCTCTCGCCTCGAACCTTCGGCGTCGTCGGCATTCTCTCGGCGACTTTCGTCGGCGGCACGGCTCTCCGTGCGCCTACGCTTTTATGTAACTGGCCGTCCCACGGACGCCACGTTACACTACATATAGCATTTCAATGGGTAAAATCCATTTGCAGGTGGCTTTTTAATGCGGTTTTGAAGATTTATGAAAATCTCGGGTTCCTCCTTCTACTTTACTTATATTTTTTATATGCTGTTTTCTGCGGAATGTATCAACGGCATAAAAATAGACACGACTATATAATATAATAAAATGTATATAGTATAATATAATCATGCATTTTCTACATTCCAAGTTCATTAATAGATTCAATAAGCATTGTTCATGAATAAAAAAAAAAGTAATAATAATGGGATCTCGAACCCGAGACTTTCGCACGTTGACTTGTTACCATGCACGTGTGATATTTAGTTACTGTAACGTGCAAATTGGGAAAACTGTATTTCAGTTGTTATACACGTTTGGAGTTTGCTTAAAGTACTCTGATACATACGCTTGACCAATCAAAAACGTGGTATGGTTCGAAGCTTCTCCGTCCAGGTGACGCGTCGACAATAGAAAACACACGCTTTACAGTGCCACCCGGTATAATCCATGCGTCTCACAGAGCTCACGAATATCATGCGTAGTATATCTATATATACTCCACCAATCAAAGACGTAGGTATTGTTCGACGGCCCTCCGCTCAGGTGGCGCGTTTACTCCAAAATAAATTGGTTTCAAGAATATCGGCCCATTGGCAATCTCCCTATTCATCTCTGGTAGTAGTGGTAGTCGTTCCTAGTGAATTTCACAATTTGAGAGCTAGGGGAAAAAAGAAGTTGGTACCTCTTGCTTTCCCCCTCCCGCCGCTTGCGCGCTGGCTTCTTCATTTTTTAGAGTATGTTTTTAACTTTCGTTTTCCTGGTGTTATAGAAAAATGAGCTTCCTCACTTATACGAGAAGTGTGGATATATTATTGGGAATTAGTAAGGGTGGGAAGCATCTTCACGAACGAAGCTCTTCGTATAATAACGATCGAACTTCACAGATAAGTTCGTTTGATCGTACAATTATACTTCGAGCCTCGTCCTTCGAAGATTAATGTACTTGTTCAGAGTTTTGTTCATTTTTTCTTCCTTTTTTTTACTGTAGTTATAATGCTATATAAGAATATGTTAATGCTCTTACTTATATAATGAAGCTTTGGCTTCCTTCACCAATGTTCTACTCTTTTTTTTTCCATTCCATAACAGTTTTTGCGAACTTTCCCTCTTCTGTCAGTATTGGTCTGTTGTAAAAATTTGCAAATGTTTTTGAGTTATCCGACCATCCGGCGGTCTTCCTAATGGTGCCAATATCTACTCCATTCCGCAGTGCAGCCGATGATGCTGCATGTCTTGTACTGTATGCTGTGAACTTGTCCATTTTGATTCCCGCTCTTTTAAGGACACTTTTAATCCACCAACTTATTATTTGTGTGTTCGCCGCTTCGTGCGGCTTTCTTGTCGTCATAAATAATCTTTTGTTTTGTCCTCTAATTTCTTTGGTAATGTTTAGGTATTCCATGGTCGTATTTGCTACACAGATCTTTGGTCTTTTCGTGAAAAAGTGTAGTACCAGATTTGGTTGTGATCCTCTAATTCTTGATATTTTGACCAGGTCTGGTATCTTGATCTCTGCACCCCTCGAAGTCACCGTGATGCTGTTAATGTTTATCAAGGCTAGTGTTTGTATCCTTTGTGCCGTCGCCAACGTAATTAGTGTTGCTGTCTTTTCAGAGATTCCTCTGAGGTTTCTCCCAACCAGCCCGCGTTCTGTTTGTATGAATCTCAATACTATGTTGACGTCCCAAGTGACTTCATATCTGGCCCTTGGTGGCCTTTTCCTGAATACTGATTTGAAGAATCTCTTGATCGTTTGGCCGTTGGATATGCCATTAAGCAACATTAGCGAAGTGGCTGATCTCATCGAGTTTAGTGGTCCGTATGATGCACCTTGTTTGAATTTCCCCACTAGGAATTCCAAGGCTATCTTAGCGCCCCCTTGGTATGGGTTTATTTTGTTCAGTCTGCAGAATATCTGCCAGTCTCTCAGTGGTCCACTGTATTGTTTCAGCGTTGATACTGCTACCAAAACTGCTAATATAGAGGCTGCTTCTGTTGAAAACCCTCGCGAGGTGTACGCTTTCCGAATACAGTCTCTGCTGTCATCGTTAATTGCGTCGCTAATGGATGCTGTTGTTTCCTGCAAGGAGATAATAGTGATTCTAAATCTGGTTCGAACGTGACTTGATTACTAACTAGACGTTTCTGAAACAAAGGGTACCACGGTTGTGTGGGCCCTTTCGGTACAACGATTGTTCCCTTGGTCCCCTCATGTATAATCTTTTTAAGTGTGCATAATGTCAGTGCGAACGGGGGAAAGGTATCAAAGTATTTGTCCCTACCCCCTCCCCCCCCCCCATAATAATGAGA